TTGTTAGTTTTGTAGGTTCAAGTAACACACAAACTTTAATATCATGAAGCAACTAGTGTTTGGCTCATCAAAACCCAAAAAGGGAGAGATTGTTGAGATTGTGGAAATTGTTGAGATTGTTGAGTTTATTGAAGATTGCTGAGTCAATTATTGAAGCCCTTTTTGAAGATCTTTATGAAGAATGAAAAATTTTTAGTTTTGATGATGATAGCATTAGATTTGTATAGATTTATTTAGTTTGCTTCATTCTTTTTTGTATCTCATGGCTTATGTTGAAAATCACAATGTATTGCTTGTTATTAGACTTAGGGTTGGATGTGTTTGCTTTTTGTGATGAATTAATTTCAAAACTACATCTTGTTTTAGAAAACATAAAACTTACATTTCAACTAAATGTTTCTCATTTCATGTGAAAACATAATGTAAGAGATTACAAAATGGAACTTAGTTCATTCAAAAGAATTCATGATTAAGTTAGGTAACAGATTACCATGTGAGGTAATAGATTACTAAAACTTAGTTTTGAAGTGGAATTAAACATCCTCTCTGTGATAATCGATTACCTATTCATGTAGTTGATTACGATGGTAACTTTTGAGTGAAAACAAGTGAAACAAGTTGAAAAAGTATCAAGATAATCGATTATCAACTTTAGTAATCGATTACCTCTGTTGAAAAATGAGTTCTATGGTTTCCGAGACTCAAGATAATCGATTACCAGGATTAGTAATCGACTACCTCTGTTCTTGATTCTCATATTTCAGTTCTCTTTAAAAACTGGTAATAAATTACCTGATATTGGTAATAGATTACTACTATTACGAGTTTTTAATGTTGAAATCTTATTTGCTCTAAATATAACTCTTTTTGAAAACTTAAAAGAAGGATGACATATTTGATTAGAAAGATCAAAGAGTGATATAGAGACAAACATTTTCAAGAATCTAAAAATCATTTTTTGAGAGAAGATCAAATATTTTCATAACAATTCAATAGCAAAGAAACTCAAGAAAGATGTTATCTTGAAAGAAGTTCAAGAAATTCAAGATTGTTAAATAATTCATTGGGAAAGATCAATCTGCACTACAGGTGTATCTTTTCTGATCTTGTAACTCTTATTTGCAGAGTTGGGTATGCTATGGTATTTGATTCTTTGAGATAAGGGTATCTCATGAAAAAGTGAAAGAGAAATCTTGAGATAGGTTTTCTCAAGTGGATTATTGAGGTGCAAGAATTCTGGTGATTATATAATCTTGTGGGATCAAGATTAGGTGATTGTGTTTTTTGATTATAATATTGCTTGTGCATAGTGTTTGTAAAGAATATTATAGTAGAAAGACTGGATTTAGCAGGGAGCTAAGTCTGAAACTATATGTACGCCTTTGTATGGCTGAACCAGTATAGATCATTTTGCAATTTCTCTTTTTACCTTCATATCTTGTTATAATTCATATTTAATTGATAAAAAAGAATTGCAAGATTGTAAAATAAACATTTTCTTGAATATTATAGATTGTTGATTTGTGAAATCTAATATGATATATGTAATCTGGTAATAAAGTGAAGGAAGGTAATTACTAAAATCAATTTGGATTATAATTTTTATTCCACTGTGTAATAATTCTGATATACTTTGTATCTTGTTTGGTTTTTAATCTGAATATGTTTAGTAATAAGTTGTATGAGAAAGAAAGAAATTAACAAGAAAGCAAGAGAGACCATTAAAAGTTGTCTAAGCGAAGAATTTATTCAACCCCCCTTCTAGATTCATGTTCTACCTAGGACCAATAGCTTTTAGCATAACTTTTCTCACCATGTGTTGGTTTGCCCAAATGTGGCTATTCTCTCATCATTGGCTAAAAACTTCATTGTTATGAGTAGTAGACACTATGGCTTCAAGGGCATTGAGGGAAGGTCACCTTATGATGACATTTTAAGAAGTGGTTAGATCTAATAATAACTACTTCACATTGAGTAACTTGGTGTGTCTATCATTGTCAAACTTGGTTAAAAAGTTTATGTAGCCTCTTATGTTAAGTCGTTCATTAGTGAATTTGAGCAGAGGTTAGTCATAGGGCTTAATTTCATCATGGGGTACTTGAAGTTGGAGGAAGGTTTTTCAGTATAAGATAATGGTCGAGCTTTCCCGATTAATGAGGTGTTTTTGTACTTCCAAATTGGCAATCTAAATAAAGTAACCATGGGGTCGTTCTGATTAGAGTCCATACCTTAGAAGTCTTTGTTTGTGAAGGTGATAGGGGTAGCGAACTAGGTGACTTGACATGTGCGGGGGTGACACTACTAATGGCTTTGAGATGTTTCTTTCAAGATGACCTAGTAGAACCATGACTTGGGAAGCTACCAACAATAGTGTGTATTACCCCCTATGACCTTGTTTTCATCGTTGTTTTATAGGTCAATTTCCTCCCTAGGAGAATTTTGATCTCACTAGCCTCATTGGCATTGGTTGTTTCTCTCTCGACTATGGGGGCGATCTTCTTGATGGCTATCCCTTTAAAAAAAACTACTTGAGATGGTCAACTTGGATGAGTTCCTCAACTTTGTCTAAGGGTGCTCAACACTCCTTCATGGTGTGGTTGATATTCATGTGGTAGATGCTTGCTACAATCTGCATCCTCTTGAGGTTACCGAAGGTTGAGAAGGGTAAGCATTTAAGCATTGAAAGCTTCCTTAAATAAGTTGGTACAAGGTACAATTAGAGGGGTATAATTTTTGTATCTTGGTGGTTTAGAAGGGCAGTCATTCTTGAGTTTGATGTCATTGTGAAGGTGCAGTCGATTTGGTTTGGACGACTTACCCTTTGTAATGAAAGAAGATTGGATTTTGTGCCAACTGGCTTCATGCTCCTCCATCTAGATAAAGATAGTGGTGTAAGTTCTTAAGTCATTCTTGTTTATGGGCTTGTGCTAGTAGAGGTCATTAGAGAATGACTCCATGTTAAGCATATTCAAAATGGAAGCTAAGGTGACTTGGGATGAAGGTCTTGTATTTTGTTGGCTATAAATAAGAATCTCTCCATGAAGGCTTAGAGTGATTCGTTGTCGTCTTGCTTGAGGTTGAGCAACACTAGAGTCGAGGTCTCATGAGGTTGGTTGGTGGTGAAGCACACTCTAAATTGTTGTATTAAAACAACATAATTGGGTATATTAGTAGGGCCAAGCAAGCGTACCATAATTGGGTAGAACCCTCAGACGTCGTTCAGAAGATCTTGCATATGATTGCCTTGTCCTAGGTGAATATGTGCATTCTAGTCTCATAGGTAGGGAGGTGCTCATTTGGGCATGTAAAACCATTGTATGCCTTCATGGTGATGTTTTTTCGTCCTCAAGAAAATGGGATGTCAATCATGTCATTGATAAAGGGATGAATGCGATGTTCACCAACAAACTGTCCTAGAGTGATTTGAGGATGAAGTTGGTTCTCTTAACCATCTAGTGGGGTTTGGAGGTCATATACTCCCTTGTTGTCGAGATGCTTGTTCCTAAGCAAATGTCACCTGTGTATAAGGCACGATCGACCTTGTGCTATTGGCGGAGAGTCATTAGGGCTTCTTCATGCATTTTTTCATGGCTTCCTTGCAACCCATTAAGGCTTCTTCGTTGCATTTCTACATGGATTCTATGCATTGCAACAGTTCGACGATGGTGGTATAATGGATGGAATCATAGGGGTTTTAGATGGTGCCATGGTCACCACAGCCCGATGTCATGGAGGCGACGACAATTCTTGGGGCTACTACACAAGGGTAGGGATTTTGGGGTGGCTAGTTGTCATAGAGGCTGCCATTGTGTTGTAGTTGGAGGATTATTTCATTTTGGCCCCACAATGGGCACCAAATGTTCTTGCCAAATTTCATAGGTGTGTCAACAATAAGGGTTGTGTCCTTCGTGCTCTAATATCTATGATGGTAGGGGCACCTACAGTGACACTTTGATGCCCGAGTTATATAAGAGTCTGGGTAAGTGTAAAAATTAAGTTAAAATGATACATGATGCCCCACATATATATTGGATATTATCTGTAGGATTAATGATAATGACATGTGATCTTTGAAGATATATTGTGGAGATATTGTTCCTAATATCTATAAGGGATCCCATGATCCAAGGAAACATGGTACAAGAATTATCTCTTGACCATTTAAAGATAAAATGACGTAGAGTTTTATCTTCTAGACCTAGCATGGGCGAGATGATGATCTGGGCGAGTTGGTGATTTGCTCAGTCGCTTGAGTTGGACATTAGCTCAACTTGACATGACCGAGTTGGGTGCTACAATAATAAACATTTTAATTTGTACATTACACAAGTTAAGATACTAGTGTATAATCAAAACACGAATGACTATTTTGCACGAGAGCATTTTTAAGAATTTTTTTTGCAACAAGAAATTTTTTAGGAATTCTTTAAACTCCATATATTGTGTAGTTGAAAAAAAAACATGGTAAAAAAGAGATACCTCATTATGTATTTCATAATGAATATTATTCAATGTATTTAAATAAGACTAAACCTTCACTCCAATCTCTCAAAATATTGAGCTTCGTAGTATTAATGCATATTGTTATATTTTTGTATTGATACAAGACTAACCATTAACTTTGGTCTCTCAAAATCATGAGTACCATTATATTAACTTGACAAATTAAGAAAATAATAAATAAATCTTTAAATTTAATTATTTATTATTTTAGTCTCAAACTATATACTAATATTATTATATTAGTTATATGTTTTTTTAATTATGAACTCAATTTGTACTTTTAAAAACTAATTTCAATTTTCTATGATTAAGTTAATTTATACTTTTAGAAACTATTTACGATGAAAATATGTTTCTTGTGTTTAGGGCTTAGAGAAAAAAAAAAAAAAAAAAAAAAAGTGGTGACAATAGTAACCAATCCCATCTCGAAGGCCCAAGCCCATCCCAACATAGTACTCTACTTGTTGCCTAAGAAGCTGCGAGCAACAAATACACGAGTTTCTTCGGCTTTACTCTTTACTCTTGAGCGAAGCGTAAAAGCTTGACCAGAGAGAGAGAGAGAGAGATTCGAATCCGAACTCAGAAGTAAAACACAGAGCAGAGAATGGCTAGGTACGACAGAGCAATCACCGTGTTCTCCCCCGACGGCCACCTCTTCCAGGTGGAGTACGCTCTGGAAGCCGTCCGCAAGGGGAACGCCGCCGTGGGCGTCCGCGGGTCCGACAACGTGGTCCTCGGCGTCGAGAAGAAATCCACCGCCAAGCTCCAAGACTCCAGGTTCCCCCTTCTCCCATTTCAATTCAGCGCTATAAAAATTAATCAATTAATTCCAGATCCCCGTCCGATTAGGGGTAGACGCTAAACGGTGTCGTTTGGCAGGACGGTGAGGAAGATTGTGAATCTGGACGATCACGTGGCGCTGGCGTGCGCGGGGCTGAAGGCGGACGCACGTGTGCTGATAAACAGGGCACGTGTGGAGTGCCAGAGTCACAGGCTGACCGTGGAGGATCCCGTGACGGTTGAGTACATAACGCGTTACATCGCTGGGCTTCAGCAGAAGTACACGCAGAGTGGCGGCGTGAGGCCCTTTGGGCTTTCGACGCTCATTGTTGGGTTTGATCCCTACACCGGTGCGCCCTCCCTCTACCAGACGGATCCTTCGGGCACGTTTTCCGCGTGGAAGGCCAATGCCACTGGGAGAAACTCCAATTCGATTCGCGAGTTTTTGGAGAAGAACTATAAGGAAACTTCTGGCCAGGAGACTGTCAAATTGGCTATCCGTGCGTTGCTCGAAGTCAGTTTCATTTCCTATCTCATCATCTTCTTCTTCTTCTTCTTGTGGATGCAATTAGGGTTCTGGTTCTGGACTGTTATTTAAAAGCTTGTTTTTTTTTTTT